GCCTTTTTTTGTTGTTATTTGAGCCCTTTAGAGTCCCTTCCCTCTCCTTACAGCCTTTTCCACTGGAAAAGCATATGGGAAGTTCATAGGTCTAAGTGCTGCTTTCTCATTGGTTTTGGGTCAAACAGAATGAAAAAGAAACAAAGGCTGCAAAATAAAAGGAATAAATGAAACCATGAATGCATGGGAAACAAATTAACTGGATATGTTTTACGTTCTGAAATATTTCCATAATGCTTCTATGTAGCGTGTGTTTATTTTTCTTTGAATAATAATGTTAAAATGTGTCTAATTCAATTACCCTCTGCATTTGCTGAATGAGTTTTCCTTGGTGAAGAGTTCTCCTACACTACCCCAAGCTACGAATTCCATATGATATTTGAACAGGTCCTTTTAATTGCTGATATTAAGTGTCGATCATTCTGCTGTAAGTTGGCAGCGTGGCCAGAGAAACAAATTCCTCTTTCAGATACATCAGACAGTCATTCAATTAACGACCAAAGTTCTATTGACACAGTAGGAATTCATTATGTGAAATATTAAAAAAAGCCCTCCACTGACTAGTTAAAAAAAAAAAGAGAAAGAGACTTTTAAAGATGGTGGATTATCTACATGCAGTTATTAAAATTATTTGTACAGAATTTGAAATTATACTTATGGTGGAAACATTTTTCTGAGAGGCATAAGCAGCATTTCTGTTGAAAAATATGTTGGACTTTGTAAAGATGAATATAATGTACACATCCTTATTTCCATAGACATTGTGCATTTTCTTGATTAAAAGCCTTAGATTTTATGAGTTATGGCTTTAGACTTGCTGCATAAAGAGCTTCATGGCTTATTCTGTTAGAGTCTAATTTGAAAGAAAGTTCTTCCTCAAGGGTTTAAGAAGTAATTCATAAAATGGTAAGAATAATAAATATTGTGCCTTAACTCATACACTAGGATAGATAGACAGATTTTGCACACCTGGGTGTAATTTCAGTTAATTCACACAAGAGACAGGCTGAAAGTTTATTGTTTGGAAGGAGAAAAATGGCTTAAATCTTGTATTTGCAAAAATGATTATATTAGCTTAAATGAAAATGCTACTCTATTAATGGCTTCAATAAGCTTTGCATTTGGAAAAGTATTTTAATAAAAAGTTACCTGAAGTTTACTGCAACTTAAAATATGTAAGTGAGGGGAAAGTACTTACTTTGATTTATATGTCTTTTGGAGGTGTAATTATTGGCTTTTTACTCACCTATGTAAAACAATGTACTTTTGTAAATGGATTTCTGGCCACTTTACTCCTTTTTTTTTTCACATAAAAAGTAAGCACTGTCAATCAAAGAATTTTAAGGTTTATTTCCTCTTTAGAAATGATTGATAGCCTTTTAGATTTACAAGTTGACAAGTTAAAGGGTTCTATTGGTATAATTATGTACTAAATTCACAGTCTTTCAATTTAAATGTCCTTTTAAAACCACAAGATTATCATACCTGTATTTTGAAAAGTGGGCCAGTCAGTTTGGGTTGGTATACAAATTGCTGCCATTAGCCTTGGGACCTATTTGAATTTAGTACAGTTTTTTAAAGTTAGTAGTACTTTCAATAGTACTTTTAAAATTTAGGGTAATGGGAATGCATTTTAAGTACACTATGTGTTAGCTTGTTTTTAATGTATGGATGTCAAGAACACAAATAGAGAGTTTGTATTTCTTATTGATTTTTTTTTTCCCAATCATGGAAAAAGACAACTTTCTTTGATTTAGAGCACTGGGAAATGCGTTATTGTGAATGGACTTCAAAGGCAGAGAGCAAGCTCGCACGCCCTGGGGACAGAGGCAAAACCTTGCAAGGAGTTGGTATCTGACCTCGTACATTAGCTGCCACTAATGGTGGCCTGAGCACTGGCTCTTCTACAATGCTAGGAGATCAGAATTTCACCTTTTCTTTGGAGTTTTGGCAGCTACTGACACAGGAACTGGTGTGGCCGTAACACTGAAGGTGGGGTTAAATATTTAAACAGGGCTCTTTCTTTGAGATATGACAAATTACATTCGACTTGGATTCTGAATGCACTGAAGAATGGAGGGCTGATACCATCCAATCTGTGGTTAGATGTTCAGGCAGCTAAAGATTTCTTCTTTTCATTTTATCTAAGACTGAAAGGGTTGAACGGTTATAGACTAATGAGTGATATTTGACAACTACACTTTAGGACCCAATCCTGCAAATTGCTGTGTGCAGCCTCTCCCCACCACTAAAGTAAAGCTGAAGCTATTTGAAGCAGAAAGTTTTCAGTATCTCTCAGAGGATGCTTGATGCCTTGTGAGATTGGACCATAAAATTAACATTTTTTTTGGTCATTTAGTTCAGAAAATACTCACAGGAAATACTCTGTGGATTTCAAATGTGTTGAATGTGTGGGAAGATACGAGAAAATGACTGCTATCTCTGGGGGGATTTCAGAACTGGCCTCCATTTATAATATTGCAGAATTTAGTAACTACTTTCCCAAAGGATGTAAAGGGAAAATGGCCATAAACTAGACTGAATTAGAGAAGAAATACATTTGACAGAACCACGCTAAAATCTTCTAACATATTTGCAAAAGAAATGTAAATTAGAACTGTAGGGTTTTTTTAATCTTCTCAGAGAACAGCTATTTTTTATAATAAATATAAATAGCAGTAAATTAATGTATTGTAAAATTTGAAGAAGGTCTAAACTAAACGGGTCCATGACAAGAAGCCATGTAAGGAAACTCAAAGGTAATGAAACCGGGGGTTTACAAACCCAGGTACTGTATTTTCTGAAAAACTACACAACAGAGTGGACAGCATGTGGCCAGGGTGTGAAAGGAAACGTGGAAAAAAGGCCCAACCATCCAAAAACCAAAAAGGGCACAAGCAGGGGAAAAGCCTTATTCTCACTCCTTCCATACAATCACCTGAATATAAATAAAAGATCAAATTTAGATATTCCTGATGAAGGGAAGTGCATGAAAAAAACCAAGGAGACTAGAGGGATGTCATGATCTCTGGGGCAAAAAAAACCTTCTGACAATAGCCCAGAAAGTAAAATCCTGAAAGATTTCTAGTTTGGTGTTACGATAATAATGTAACAGTAATTTCAGGATATGCTCAGAAGATTCCTTTGTGATACGAGAGAAATGTTGAGATTCTGCTGGACTGTGTGATTCCCCTACAGCACCTTCCTTCTGCCTCAATTTGCAGTAGCATCGCTGGGCCAGCTTACGGAGTTGGGATGTGCTGAAGGCCCAGGAGGATATAAAAATCTGACCCTTTGGTTGCCAGTAGAACCATCTGCTGTGGAAATGTGGTTTGAAAATAGTAATTTAAATGGAACAGTTTCTTTAAAAACTGGACTGTTTTGTGGGATTGTTTATGGAACACCAATTAATTAAAAATAAGCCAGGGATTAGATACTGCTTTCATGACAACAATGTGGTCTGGCTAAAGATCTTTAACATTAGGAGTATTAAAAAAATGTTCTCTTCACTTAAAAAGTGGAAGTATGGACAAATTGTGCCATGTTGATCAGACTGATGGAGTTGTGTAACTTGCTGTGGGATAAGCATCATTGAGCTACATGAGAGTGCTTAGACAAGTGAGACTGGAAGATATAGTTTGATGATAAATCTCTTTGCAAGAATCAGATGGCATCATTCTACCCACATAGTAAAGCTCATAACAAAACCATCATAAAGGTACAAGATATATTCATAATTTAGTAGCAGATTGTGTGCAAGAAATAATTTTTTTGTTATTAATAAGCTAAAACAAAATAAGAAAAACTTTAAAGTGACAAAAAAAAGAAAAAAAAAATCAGATTTCCTGTCCACCAAAAAAAAAAGGCTGAAAATATAAAAATCAATATTGGAATTTTTTTTTTTTCATTTAACTCAAAAAAATTGCAATCAAACTGCTGTGAAAAATTTCGTCATCTCTATTGGCATGGGAAAGTCAAGATGCGCTGTTGTTTAGAGATGCCTGAGAATGCTTGACTGTTGTTCCAGTTCACCAAAGCACTTAGGAAATTTTAAGCACATGTTGAAGTCTCACTAACATCTGAGTTTTAAAGTGATCATATGACTGGAAATATAGCTAGAAGGTCATTCAGTGCAGTCCCCTGTAATTATAGGCAATCATATAAAAACATAATATGCTCAAATTTGCTTTGGTGAAAGCAAATGGGTTTAAGTATGTGCTTACAGATAAGCATGTGCTTAAAGGCTTGGCACAATCAGAGCTTTGATTAGTGCAGGCAGACCAGCATTTTCATGAAGATTAAAGTGTTACACTTCTACCATTTCTCTCCTCCATTTTATTAGACAAGGACTGGGGAAAGATGAACTAAAAACATAGATTTTTTTTTTTTTTTTTTTTTTTTTGATTCATTAAGTCTTTAGGATCAGTTTAGTGCTGATTGAGGCCTGAGCTGGGCTGCTGAAGTCAGTGTCAATGAGTAAAGCCTCTGCCAAGACAAGTGCCTGTAGTTCACAACAAAATTATATGTGATCATTGCACATGGAGCATATTAAATGTATAATAGAATCTGGAAGAAGAGAGACGCCCTAATAGTTACTTCTTTTGTCTTCCGATCACAAAGGACCTTTCTCATAATATCAAAGCAGGAAAAAAAACCAACATGAAAGATGGGGTGCAAAGTATTTATCCAATTAATTTCATGGTGGCTTTCAGAGATAATAATTGCTTCCTATTTGGAAGATGTATGCAACATCCCCAAATTTTCCAGCAACCTTGTTTTAGAAGCTCAAGTGGGAAGGTTTGCATTGTGGTTTGAACCAAAGCCTCAGAACCAACCTCAAACAGCGTTTGAACCAAGACTTCATAGTCCGTGCTGATTTCAGTAAAAGGGGATTTTGCTGTGATCCTTCCTCGGTCTTGCAATGCGTTGCCAATTGTTACAGTGCAATGGAGCCTGCTTGCTATGCGTTTGTCACATCACGATGTTTGTTGTTGTTTCAGCTCTGAACGAACCCACCATTGACTATGGTTTCCAAAGGTTACAGAAGGTTATCCCCCGGCACCCTGGTGACCCCGAACGCTTGCCAAAGGTCAGCACAAAGTTTGTTGTTTTATTAAATATGGTAAAGCTGGTTACTGCATGTTTTTGTCTGAGAGTGCAGGACTCTCTCAATGTAATGGTCCCAGTTTGGTCCCCAACCCAGATAAGTTGAAAGAGAGACATGACCAATGAAGCCCAGTCAGCAACTTTCATTGTAGGCTTATGAGACTTCTTGGACTTTCTGAGTCACAGCTAACTCAAACAGCTCTTGCCTTTCTTAAAAGCACATCTTACTCTGTGTTCTGAAAGACTTAACAAAGAACATATTTTGGGTTGGTATTTTGGAACCTGAGCAGCTTATTCATAGAAGAATGACGCTTCTTGGTTTTGGTATCACCGTAGTACTTGCCATTATAATTTTGAGAACTTGACCATTGATAAAATTAAGTTATTTGGATCTTCAGGGAATGTGAGTCCACTGCTGCTGCACCATGTATTGCTTTAGGATAATAATTATTATATGCTGCTTTATTTCAGGATTGCTGAAATAATTACAGCAATGCATAGTGAAGTGATTTGATGTTTGTTCCCATCAAAATTAGTGGGAGTTTTTTTTTTGATTTCTGTCAAGTAAAAGCTGAGGAAGAAAACGAATAGTTTGCATAGGCTTCTAGTAGTTCTGTCTTGTACTGTGAAAAGGCTGTCTGGGTCTGCACTCAGATCTGTTCTTGCTACCTTGCCATACTGTACTTTCTCTGGCGAGAATTTGTGGTGGGTTTTGTGATATACTGGAGAAAGAGGTGCAGTGTTTGAAAGTGTTGCTTCTTTGCCACAGGAACACTGAGCAATAGCATGCATGAGCTGGAGTCACTGTATGTGACCAACTGCCACCATGTGTTTTATCTGCTCTAGCATCATGGCTGTTAGTGAGTGAGTGAGTTGGGGAGTCAAATAGGCCAAGAGTGTGTATTTGAAGAACACCACCTTTGACTTATGGAAAGGAAGATGTGAATTTGCAGACCTGAGACATAGAACAGACTGGGCTTTGATGCCTTAGGCCAGATCCCTGAAATAATGCACGTCCAGTATAGCCTTTGTGACTGGGTAAATCTTGTGACCTTTCTTCTGTAGCTTCCTGAGCTGTCAGCAGGCTTTCATCAGGGATTGTTGTGGGCTTTGATTAGTTAAATTTCTAAAGTGTTTCAAAGGTTAGAAGATTTCATGAGCACTGTAACTTACTTTCTTTTATTTCTTGACAGAAACAAAATTCAGTATGTGATTTTTTTACAGGCTTGTTAAGTCTTTTATCTTTGCCTAGGAAGGCTGTAGACTGTGGTTGCGGGGTCGATGATGTGTTGTCCTTCCCTCTTACCACCAAAGAAACATGCTGTCCTGGAGAGTTACATTTTACATTGGCTCTGTTCACCTTCTACAAGCTGTCCCTTTCTCTGACTTTTGGAGAGATTTGCAGTAGGACACAGCTTTCATAGGTCGTCAAATTTCCCTCCAGAGGTGCAACCCTTTCCAAAGAAAGACAGCATCCTTCTGTAGGGGCTCTTTCATCTGTATCATGCCTCTGCTGCCAATGTGCATGTGGAGAAAAATTGTTTCTCAGAAAATAAAAGACCAGCCTTCACTATGCACCAGGCATTTGCGAGGCCCAAAAGAAACACTACAGAACTTCCCTGAACCCAATGTTCCAGCTGACTAGTAGATGGCCATGGCTTTCCTCTAAATCAGGAAATTCAAGTAAAACAAGACTAAGCAATTCCGAATTGGGATATGCAGCTGGGGGTTGTAGTGCATCACCAACTTCCACAGGTATTGGGCTCCCTTTCTGACCCCCACAGCACTGAGGGAGTCCCCAGCAATGCTCTTCTGTGCTGGTATGGGAATGCAGCCGTCAGGCTGGACACCCTCCTCTTTCCCATTTAGGCTGAGGCTGTTACCAACTGATAACCACACGTTCCTGCTATCTAGTGTCACGGGACATAAAAACAGGCAGAATAAAGCTCCATCTAACTCCATATCCTGACTCCAATATTTAGCAGGTATTTATGGATAGGGTATGAAAATGAGGGTTAGTACTGAGTCATCTGTCCCCTCATACACCCTCTTGGCTTAATGTGTTTGTTCTGAGTATCTTTTCAAGCTATTTTTTCAAATCTTTAAATCAAGGGAAATTGTGGCTGTGTATCCAGAGGTATGATGTGATGGCCTAAAAAAAAAAGTTACTGCCTTAGGACTGAACAAACTCAGTGGAGAAACTAGTATCTCTATGCAGAGTTAGAAGGAAACAGAACGAAGAGGACCTTTTTTTTTTGTCTTTGGGTAATTCCTTCTGTGCAAGCTTGAAGGTTGGACCTCAAGTTCAAGACTCATTAATATGCCACGCACAGAGGCTGAATGCAGCAGGGGTTGGCACATGTCGACTTCTGTATTTGAGGCACTGATGGTTCAATTCCCAGCATCGCTTGCTGGCTCCAGGATCATAATCAAGGACGCAGTGAGTCTCTGTGCTGGGCGAGTACTGCACAGCGCTCTTCCCCATGTCATTAAACCAGGAAGGGCTTTGGCAGTATTCCACTATAGACAATTCTCAGTGGCTACTTAGAAGAGAGTTGGAAGCCATATGGCTTCCACAGTGGAACCACGGGCAGAGAGGGCAAATGTGTGAGAGAGACAGAGCGAGACAGCAGAGAAGAGAGCAGTGCTCAAAGCTTTCAATATCTATTCTTTCTTCCATTTTCCTCATTGTCCTGCCAGTGTATCATTGCTTCTGTTCATTAAAAAGCTTGTACTTATGCATTAAATAAATACACCCCCTACCCCCCCATTTCTATAATTGCTGCTAGGGTCTGTGGCCATTATTCCATTTAAACATTACTGATGAATTAGAGATCTTTCAAGAAAGAGAACTGGTTATAATTTTTGTGTTCATAAGGGCATGCAGGCCTTCCCATGGACCAACAAGAGCATTCTGCTGTGTGACTTACTTATCCCTGCAGTCAAGGAGAATTGTTGAGGCCATCAAGTGAGGGTTAGCACATGCTCTGCCCTCCAGAGCTGAGGAGTTAACAGCCATGTCTGTCAACAGGCATTTCTAAAACCATTGAGACTATTTGAGGAGTTTGATCTCCACTAGTTTACAACCAATATTTTCAGAAGTGCTCGTTGTTCATGCTTGGGATTATTTTTTTTAAATATTCCAGCTATCTGCTGGAAGTAGGCAAAGAAAAAAGGCAGATTTTGAATTTTTTTTCTGTCTCCCAGTGCTTCAGTAGCCAAATTCCAGTGGAGAATGTCCTCCCATAGTGAGAAGAACAGGAGCACCTGGGAACTGGGGTCTTTGGACTGTTAGACTGACAGTTGGAGTAGAAATGCATTTAAAGTAGAAATGCAATATAAAGTTTCTGGAGAAAAACGTGGGAGCTGATGTTGGCAGCTGGGCTATGGAGCCAGCTATAGGCCAGAGTCCTGTTCCCTTCTTGTACAGAGCAGATCAGGGAAAGCAGCCAGTGTAGGGTTGTCACGAGCAGATGTGCATGTCTGTACATACACGCACACACGCACAAACACATGCACCAAGAGGAGAGACAGGGAGTACAAAGATGGTGGGATTAGCACCCAAAGCTTGGAGTGAGATCAAGTACCAGGAATGTGCTGGGCGGTATAGTCTTTCCTTTCTAATACAGACAGGAGGCAGATCAGAGGAAACAAGAGATCTCTGGGGAGAAGTGAAAAGAAATACCATGATGCTAATGTTAAGAAATCGTATCGTCATCCTATAGGAGCAGTCTGTAGAAAGCCTGCCTGTGGAGCTGGGGAATAAGCCTGCACGTGTGTGTGCAATTTCCCTGTCTCATATGTTTGCATATGTGCGCACAAATACACATGTGTTGTTGGTTCTTGCATGCATAACTGTAATGGAAATCACTAGAGTTCAGATCACAACGACATGTTGAGTCTATTGAGGTTCATTCATGTAACTACCCTACAACCCTTAAAATAAATCCCTGGCAGATACGTTGAGATTCTGCAATTTTGTTAAAACTCCACAGCTATAGCTGTAAAACAGTTTCAACTGTGAGCTAGATTTGAAACACATTCATCCTAAATGATTTAATAACAATGATTCCTCTTTATATGCAATTTCCTAGAATTTATTTGCCGTTTTCACCGCTCTTACAACTCATCACTTGTATTTAAATTAAGCGCACGATTGTTCACTCTGTGTTTGAGAAGCAAGTCATTGCATCGACCCGCTCCATGATCTGACATCCTCTCCCTCCCAGTCTGTTGCTTAAATGCTCTCCCTAGGAGACCCCTTAGCCCTCCGGAAAGGCACCTTTACTTCTGGTTTCTCTTCATGTGGATGAAAGTGGAGCCTGCCTCTCTCTCTAGCACACAAAGGCCTCCCTGCTGAGCGGAGAGCACACGTAACCAGGCTTCACCTTCCCTTCAGCTCCTTTTCTCTGGTCAGTCATTAGACCCCCCCAAGACATATCCCACCTCCTCGTTTAGGACACTAATAGAAGACAGGTGGTTATTCAGAACCAGTGGCTGGCAAAAGCAGTTGTCTTTTCCCATATGAAATCCCACAGACCTGCCCTTTATCCATTGTGACATGGGTATTGTTTATATTGCAAATAAAGGTTGTCTCTAAATGTGGGTGGGTTGGCCCAGGCTTGCTAGCGGAGGTTAAAATAGCAATGAAGACAAGGAAACTCAGCTTTGCTGCTTCAGACAGACCCAATGGAAATTCCAGAATGGATCTCCATCTGCTAACTCAAGAGACTGTATTTTAACCTAAGTTAGTAATTTTCAGCTAAGAAAATGCATGTTTGGGTTTTTTTTCCACCAGGAAGGTTGTTAGAAAACTTTTATACTAAGTATGGGCAGGAAGAGGGAGCATGTGAAGAGGAGCTGTTGGAGTTCATCTGTATAGCAAGGAGGGCGTGAGATGTGCTTGGCGGTTTCTATGCTGTACTGTAAAATTCGTAGGAATGCAAGATCAGAGTTAAGGTTGGTATTGAACCCTTAACAGTT